CGGCGGGAGGCTCACTGTCTCAGGCACTTTCTGTTTCTGAGAGCCATATGTACTGCGGCTGCAAGAAATCTCCTGAAAACCCCACCGGGAAGAGGGCTGGAGATTCCTGAGCTGCACTGTTGTCAAATATTTCATTGAAGAACGTCATGGAAAATGTGTGCTTTTGGGTAAAAGGGCCGGTAGAAGGGGGCAAGCTCCAGCCGCAGCACAAGCACTTTTTTCTTTTTATTTTTTATTGTTTTTTTTTTTTTCTTAACCAAACTATGAACCTCTCTGTACCGTACAGCTGAGAGGAGATTCATTGCCAGAGGTTGGGGCCAGGGATCACCCTCATCACAGCTGCTCCCAAACTTGACCCTGATGGTCCCCACAGTTGGGTTCCCAGCCCCATCTGTGCTAAGAGGGTGTGGCAGGGCTGGGCAGGCCAGAGGGTGCTGCCTTTCTCTCCTCCTCACCTTGGGGTACCCCCATGAAGAGTCTGGGGAGGAGCCCCGAGCCTGGCTTGCTACTTGCTACTGAGTGACTACCTTGGTTTGGGTTTGATCAGGCAGAAGCAGGTACAAGTGAAGACAGTATGCCAAAATGTGTGGCTCAAGCCAGGAGCTTGCAGGCATGGGGGACCCCAGGATTCCGGGCCTCTTCTGCTGCCAGTTCTGCACATCTCTCGGGCCCCTGTGTCTTCCCTCTGCCCACTGCAGATAGGAGGCTCCATGTCCTGAGCACACAGCCTCCTACAGGCCCACTGGGAACCCAACACACCCCTTCCCAGCATCTCCACACCACACCAGCCGCCGCCGGCACTCCCCTCCCAGAGCCACAAAGCAGGTAAATGTCACTTGATGGCTACAAAAATAGAGTAGGAGTGTCATTTTGCTTCCCTGGAACCTGAGATCAAAAAGAGAATCTTCCTTACAGCATTGTGGTGGGATTTTGTGAGCTGAGATGACCTTGAGGCGCCTAGCCAGGGCACACAGGCAGGCGTCCGAAAACATTAAACATTCGCTGTGCAGTTACTGCATTACTGCATTCTTACTACGACAGTCACGTGGCAGGCGGCATGGTAACCTCGGAACAGTCTTCCCTTCACGGAGCCATGCACCCCTGTACAAACATGGCCTGGTGCTTGGGTGGGGACAGTGCTGGTCACCACGTGGACCCTGTCCTTGCAATTTGCTGCAGCCAGAATTCATTTGGCATCCACGGGTCTCCCGTGGAGTGCCGTTCCCTCAGGCACTGCACTGCATACATTTTTAAATGCACCGTGCATACAACCCACTGCAGGACACGCGCAGTCGACGTATACCCTAGGTTCTATGCTCACAGAACCTTCCATACTCCGTGTCTGGAGTGAGTTATGTGGTCCACACCCCCCAGAGTAACATGTAACGTGTGTGTAGCATGCTATCCTGCACACATCTGCAGGAGTCTGTGTACATAATACTATTATGCTGTGCACACATTTCCTCATATTCTGGGGAAAGTGCCTCATTTTGTACTCAGATATTTGGATTCCATACCAAGTTATATTGCTCACATCTTAAAATGTTCATTACACATGAAACCACCACATGGTACTGACATCCTCCCGGAATGTCCTGCCCAGAGACTGATGTATGTGCACACTTCTCGCTGTTCTGTGTACCCAGCCGCTCACACTGGATGCCCACCTCACACTCTTCTACCCACAGGACCGGCCAGCAGCATGACGTGTGCACATCTAGAGTGTGCAAGAGGTCGCTCAGGTACCTGGACACAGATCATCTTATAATCCATCTGCTGGACCTGATGTTTCCCCACCGTCCCCTAGCCCCCAGGGCTGCATTTTCACCCACAAATATCCCTCCCGTGCCCCTCCGCCGGGCTTGAAGTTTCCTTTACCCTTGCTGGATCCTCCTTCCCTTCCTTCCAAAGCCCCCAGGACGGGCCGCTTCCCTCCCGCTTAGCGCCCGCGGCGGGTCCCGGCTGGCCGCCCTACCTGGAGGCGTCGTTTGAAAGGGAGTTGGAGGAAGCAGGGGCCAGGGGGCGCGGGCCCAGCGTTATTGCCGAGCAGGAGTGGCGGCGGCCGGCGGGGCGGCTGCCCTCGCGGTGGGTGGTCTCGGCGGGCCCCCAGCCCCGCCCGCGTGGCCGGCCCAGGCTCGTTGGGAGCAGGATCTGGTTCCCCGCTCGGGTTACGGCGCGCTCTCGGCCCCGGCGGCTTCACTTAAGCAATTAGCCAGTAAAAATACCTTAGGCCTGGGGAGTGGGAGACCTCGCAGACGCGCCTGTTTTTACACCCCCACCCCCACCCCACTCCGCCAATTTCGGGATTCCTGGAGCCGGAGCTGGGGCGCAGATTTGGTTTGGGGTGGGAGGGGGCTGATCTTCGTGGATTTTAATCCAAGAGCAAAAGGCTGCCCGCGATCTCTGTCCCTTCTGCATTTTCTCCTCCGTCCCTGGAGCGGAGCCCCTGGGGTGTTTGCTTCTGTTTTAACAACCTAAACTGTCCCTGCCTGGGCTTGTCCACCCTCTCTACCACCCTAAGAAATAGGAACCATCATTAGTTCCATTTTTCAGATAAAGAAACGAAGGCACAGGGAGATTCGCGTCATCCCTGTGTCGTGGGGACAGTTCAAATACCCCTGACTTTGTGGTTCCCGGTAGAGGGGCCCCTCTGCCCTGAGCGCAGCGGGGCTTCGCCCGATGGTCAGGACACCTAACGCCCTGGTTCTGCCATCAGGCCAGGTTTGAATACTGGCTCTACAGGGTGACCTAGGACCTGGAGTGCCCTCACCCAGCTCCATCTGTGAATGAGGAGGGAAATTATAATCACTTGGTAGGGGCATCGGTGAATATTAAACTGGTCTCTTTAGGACATTTAATCAGGGTCCTGTGTTCATGGTTAGTGCATCACAGGTTCACAGATGGGCTCCAGGCATTTGGTGAAAACTTCAAAATCATTCTACGAATGTCACAGATATATACCTTCTGGGGGTGAGGTCAGGTGGGACTAGTTCTCAAAGGATTGACAGCCAAGAGAAAGGTTAGGAGCAGACAAGGGCAGTTCATCAAGTGAGGAGCAGAGCCCGGTGCCTGGGCTGCAGGAGATGATCCTGTTATGATCACAGTATTTGTAGTTGTCGTTGCTATTTTATCACCATCGGTTCTCCAATGGGCCTCTCTGGCCCTCTGCCCTGGGAAGCCTGGGCTGTGTGGTGTGGTAACGGCAGAGGCATTCTTAAGCCCCGCTCTCTCTACTCCCAGCCCATACGGAGGCACCTGGGAGAGTGAAACGCCAGGGTATTTTGTCCTTCGGAGTAGAGAGGAGAGATGGAGAGATGTTCACCTCTCAGCGCTGGCTGATGCAAGCCACGTCCATGCTGGGCCTCCATTTCCCCACCCTAAAAATGTAGGATTAAGGGATTAAGGGAGACCTCTCAGGGACATTTTAAGAGCTGAGAATGCCTTCTCTGGGTATGAAGGAAAGCCCTTCTTGCTACAGCTGTGATTTTCCCCAGAATTCAGGGGGTTCCCTCCAAATTACAGAGCTGGAAGCTCATTCATCTCCTCTCTCATGCCCCAGCTTCTACATACACCCCCAGTAGACAGCAGCAGTTGGGGACAGCCTCCACTTTTGGCATTACCAAGACTTCCTGGGCTACTGGGCCTGCTCTTTCCCTGGGCTTCAGGACTTGCTGTCCTGTGAGGTTTGGTTTGCTGTCAGAGCCGGTGAAAGGGCAGAAAGGAGGGTGGAAAAATGGATCTCCGGGTTAGCCAAAGATGGGACCTGCTGCCTCCCTTTCCCAACCGAAGAGGGCCTAAGAGTGAAGAAGGCTGCTGGGAAAGGGCTCCCCAACTTCAAGCTCTGGAGACCCCCTCACTCTGATCACACAACATGAGTGGGGGAGGGGCGAGCGGAAGGGAGATATTATTTCCACTTTCAGAGAACCCAGCCACAGGGTGCGCCCTGCACCCCTTGCTGGCTTAAGAGCTGGGCAGCCTTCCCTGCTCACTTCTCTACTAAAGGCCAGATATGCTCTGGTGGTCGGCAGTAGCCACCCCTTCCTGGGAACAGAACTTTCCTCCAGAGGCCAGGGTCTCCCCATCTGCAACTGCCATTTGCTAAAAAAAAAAAAAAAAAAAAAATGTGGAGAAAAGGGAATGTGAGAATGCGCGTGTGCGTGGACCTGTGTGCGTGGACGCATGCGCACGTGTGGGGCGGTAGTACATATGATTGTGTGTGCACTCGCCTGGCTATGCGTGGGCGAACGCGCAGTGCAAAACATGTAGGCGTGCATGAGGTATGCACTTAAACCAAGGTGTGCCCTCCCCGGTGAGCAGGCCTGTGTGTTGGTCGGAGGGTTGGGGCACCCGAGCTGTGTGAGGGTAGCTGGGAAGGGTGTTCGAGGCTGTGGGCGGTGCGAACGTGTCTGCGCAGTGGCTGAGCTGGTTGTGTGAGGTAGAAGTGGGTCTGCCAGTGAGCATTTACCTGCATTAATGCACAATCACACGCCACGAGTCACGTCCCACACTCACTCTTTCCCTGGGCGTGCCAGGCTGTCTGCGCGCGGAAACCCAGAGAGGCCCGCGGAAGGGCAGCGCCGGAAAGGCGACTCTCTTCTCCCGCGAGCGCGGCTGTCGGGGACGAGAAAGCCACAGTCGGGCAGGCTGCGCTGGCGAGCCCCCCAGCTCCTCGCACGGACGGACGTGCCAGGCGCCCTGAAGGCGACAACGCGTCTCCTGCCGAAAAATGAAGGCGTCCGAGCAAGGAAGGTGGGGTGGGGGATAGTTCGCTGGGGACAGGGAGTCCGGAGAAACCCGAGAGGCGGGTGGGCTTTGAACGCGCTGCGGACAGTGCTGCGAGCCCGGCACACGCCTCTTGCCGCAGCTCGCGCCGGGGCTGGGCCTCTAGGCTCCTCGCGCTGACCCTCGAAAACACCCCTCGCCCCACTCTTCCCAACCCGGGATCCTGGAGGGAGAGGCCGGGCCCCGCGCTCAGCTGTCGTTGCGAGAGCAGCACTCACCTGGGTCTGTGCGCACCGCGTTGAGAAGTGACTCCGGCGCGGTCCTGCGCTCGGCTCTCCGCACCACCTTTCCTGGCTCCACCGCCCCCAGCCCGCACCGCAGCGCTTAGGGGTAGCAAGGGCAGGCCTCCATGGGAACACCCTGAGGGCTGGCAGCCAGGCGCGCTAGGGCCGCCCTGGCCCGTGCTCCCCGCCCGCGCTGTCTGCTCTCAAGAACCTGGCCTGGTGCGCAATGTCAGAGGCCCCCGCGGCGGCGGCAGGCCGAGCCCACAGGGGCATTAGGCCAACTCCCCCGCTCCCTCCCAGCGCACGCGGAATTTTCTATTATTATTATTAAAGAATCCCCCACAACTTGTTTACGTTAAACCCTGTAAACTTCCTGCCAGGGCCTTTGCCATCTCTCGGGAAATCGGAACCTGCGCTTTGAAAATGGGGCCCGCAGGGCCAAATAGGCGGGTTTTCAGTGTGTGTTGGGGGTGGGGGAAGCCAACAAACTATCAGTGAATTCAGATCCGAGTGTGGCATGTGTATGAGTGAGTGGGAATGACTGCGAACCTAAGCTCCTGTAGGCCTATTCTGTGTCAGCGAGCGCATTAGTGGATGCGCACGCCTGCGCGCCCTTTGCAGCTGAGTGTGCACACACGCATGTGTGTGTTTGCACATCTGTTTGCGTAATTTACCGGGTTTGCATGTGCATCAAGACATGTATGTGTGTGCTAATGTGTACACAAGAGCACGAGTGTGTGCGCGTACGGGTGAGTGACTGAGCGCGCCGCTTGTTCCGGAGCCTGTGGGGTTTGTGTCGCCGCTGGGCCAGCGGGTTCTCACTCGCCCCTATCAGGCCCGCCGCGCCCGAGACAGAGCGGCCGCGACTCGTCCAGCGCTTTCGTTTTCCGCCTATGCTCTGCCCCGGCGGCTGCCCGCCCGCTCGCGCGCCGCTTGGCGAGTCCGAAAAATCCCGGGCGCGGCGCAGTCCTTCCCGGGGCGGGGAGACTGGGTAGGCGGTCCCTCGCGGCAACTTACGCCGGCCGGCCGCGGGGATCCGGAGTCGAGCCGGCTGTGCTAGCGATGGTCACGACCTGGCGGCTGCCGCGCCTGCAATTAGCCACCGGGCTGTGCGCGTCGGGGAAGGCCCCGGCCCAGGGCGCGTTTCCCTCCGCGCCGCCCGGGCAGGGAAGGCGGGGGCCAGCGCGCTCCGGGGCCGAACCGCGGGAGGAGGGCGCCTTAACACTTGCTCGCCAGGTTGGTGGAGGCGGGGCGGATTCCGCTGGCCGCCGCGGGGCGGCGAGAGTGGGGACTCTTTAAGCGCCCACCAACGCGGGGGCCCAAGTGGGCAGAGAGGGAGGGAACTCCGGGAGGGTCTTGCGCCGGCCGGCTAGACGCTGCCCAGCGGAGTTGCAGGGAAGGCGGCCTCGGCCGGAATCTCGGAGCCGAGCGCTGCGGCCGTTGGGGACCAAGGGCTGCTCCCGGCGGGGGCGCACGACCGTAAGCCCTGGAGGCAGTGCCTCCCCCCAAAAAATACCGGCGGGGGTAGCTTCCTCACGGCCTCCGCCCGGGCTGCCCTCGGCCTCAGCTCCTTTCCTAGTGGGAGGGCGAGAGAGAAAGAGGGAGGAGAGAGGTGGGGGAGGCGGGAGTTGAAGAGAGAGGGGCTCTGAGCCAACCGCCGGCGGATCCAGCAGCTCCTCCGGGAGGGCGGGCGGGAGCGCGGGGGCGGGCGCGCCGCGGCTCGCTCGGGAGAAGTGGCCGCCGATGACGGCAGAGGTGCAGCCAGCCCCGCGCGCGCAGCCCCCTCCCCCTCGCCCTCCTCCCCCCCCTCGCCCTCTTCCTCCTCCTCCTCCTCCTCCTCCCGGCCCGTCCGCGGCGCAGAGCAGCGGCGGCAGCGGCGGCGGCGGCAGCAGCCACCCGATGTCTTCCGCGCCCGAGAAGCAGCAGCCACCGCACGGCGGCGGCGGTGGCGGCGGGGGAGGCGGCGCGGCCATGGACCCCGCGTCGTCTGGCCCGTCCAAGGCCAAGAAGACTAATGCCGGCATCCGGCGCCCTGAGAAGCCGCCCTACTCCTACATCGCGCTCATCGTCATGGCCATCCAGAGCTCGCCGACCAAGCGCCTGACGCTCAGCGAGATCTACCAGTTCCTGCAGAGCCGCTTCCCCTTCTTCCGCGGCTCCTACCAGGGCTGGAAGAACTCCGTGCGCCACAACCTCTCGCTCAACGAGTGCTTCATCAAGCTGCCCAAGGGCCTCGGGCGGCCCGGCAAGGGCCACTACTGGACCATCGACCCGGCCAGCGAGTTCATGTTCGAGGAGGGCTCCTTTCGCCGGCGGCCTCGCGGCTTCCGAAGGAAATGCCAGGCGCTCAAGCCCATGTACAGCATGATGAACGGGCTCGGCTTCAACCACCTCCCGGATACCTACGGCTTCCAGGGCTCGGCCGGCGGCCTCTCGTGCCCTCCGAACAGCCTGGCACTGGAGGGCGGCCTGGGCATGATGAACGGCCACTTGCCCGGCAATGTGGACGGCATGGCCCTGCCCAGCCACTCGGTGCCCCACCTGCCCTCCAACGGCGGCCACTCGTACATGGGCAGCTGCGGCGGCACGGCGGCCGGCGAGTACCCACACCACGACAGTTCGGTGCCTGCCTCCCCGCTGCTGCCCACAGGCGCCGGCGGGGTCATGGAGCCGCACGCCGTATACTCCGGCTCTGCAGCGGCCTGGCCGCCCTCCGCCTCTGCGGCGCTCAACAGCGGCGCCTCCTACATCAAGCAGCAGCCCCTGTCCCCCTGTAACCCCGCGGCCAACCCCTTGTCCGGCAGCCTCTCCACGCACTCCCTGGAGCAGCCATATCTGCACCAGAACAGCCACAACGCCCCAGCCGAGCTGCAAGGTGAGTGGGGAAGCAGAGGGCGCCCTGGTCCCTGGGAAGACGAATCTGAGTGGCAGCGAGACCCAGCCGGGATCGATCCCCTCTATCCCAAGGCTGAGGGGAGGCACCAGCTCCCCAGGATGCCTCTTGGCCCCACCTTTCCCCCTTTGAAGAGTCACTAGCGCTCTTGACCCTAGTTTGGGACAATCTGTTTCTCTTTCTGTTCCAACTCCAGCTGCGGGCTGCCCCGAGCCTGACCAGGTAGGCCCTTCCTTAGCAAGAAGTCCCAGACCCAGTGCCCTAAGTCCTTTTGCATCCCTTAAGTCCCCTCACACCTTGGAAAGGTGCTGGTGTGGACCCAGGGCTCCTAGCCCTGGCCAGATGACCCTCCCTCCCTGGTGGTGGCTCTCAGGCTGCCTGGAGAGCTGCCTCTGCTTGGGGTTGGGCAGAGCGGAAGAGTTAGGCCCGAAGCCGAAGCCGAAGCCGAAGCCGTCCGGCCAGCACTCAGAGGCTCAGCCCAAGACTGTCGGGGGACTAGGCCTGGCAGAGCCACAGCTGAGTCTACTGGCATTTTGTGGTGTCGGGGGCAGGGCAGTGCCATGGCCAGGCCCAGGAGGATCAGAGCTGCAAGCCGGGCCATGGGGATTTCTTGTTTCTTAGAATCCAAGTTTTCAGATACCCACACCTCCAGCACCCCTGATACCCCAACAGGCCCAACAAGCAGAAGCATCTGCCAAGGGAGGTGCAGCAGCCTCGCCCCCTGATTCTGCCTCAGCCCTCCCAACAGCTTGCAGGCCCAGCTCTAGAGAGAGCTGGAGTGATTTCACCAGGGCCTGTCCAGGGTCAGCTGTCAGCAGCCGCGGGAGGCAGGAGCCAGGCCTGGAGGACTTAAGCGGCCTCTCCACGGGGGACTCTGCCGCTCCTGGCCCTGTCCTATGGAGAAACCTCTTCTCACCCCTGCTGCTGGCCTGGCGCTGGCCTCTCCTTCCACACAGACATCCAAGCCTGAGGTCGGGAGGTGGCTGCCTTGATGGTGGCCGCCATGGGAGTCAGGGGCCCTTCCTGGAGTCTTCAGGCAGAGCTTGGCCTCCCTCACCACTTCCCTTGTGGCTTCTAGAAGCCCTAGGCCCATGCACCGTGTCCAAGGCTGGATAGGCACACAACAGGCAGGCACTGCCGGGAGGGAGGCCATGGCAAGTGTTCTGGGTTTTTTTTCTGGGGTGCACGGTGGGAATGCCGAGACTCCGGGAACACGGTGGGGAGATGGCTGTGCTCTTCCACCTGAACTCTGGCTTTTCTGCTCCCTCAACCCCTCCTGTCACCTCACCTTGCAGGCATCCCAAGATATCACTCCCAGTCGCCCAGCATGTGTGACCGAAAGGAGTTTGTCTTCTCTTTCAACGCCATGGCGTCCTCTTCCATGCACTCTGCCGGCGGGGGCTCCTACTACCACCAGCAGGTCACCTACCAAGACATCAAGCCTTGTGTGATGTGAGGCTGCTGCTGCAAGCCCTCCTGGTGCAGGCAGGCGGGTCACAGGGACCCTGGACCGGCACAAGAAACTGCTTTATTCTCGAGGTATAACCATCAGCAGAAGAAAAGGGTTCGACCCCTCCCCAGCCGGAATTTTTGGCAAGGAATCCCCAACGCAAAGACACAGCGCTGTGGTTGGCATCTCCTTCCCCACTCCCTCAAAAATGTTAAGAAATGGTAGTGGTGGGTCTGATCGGACTGCAGCCATCGATAATAAACGTTTTTGATCCTGCTGAACCCGGCTGAGACGGTGCTGTGCCGGGGAAAGCCTTCCTCATCCACACAGAAATTCTGCTGAGGTCCCCCTCCTTCCTGGCCAAGGGCAGAAGTCGGGGGAGATTTTTAGAAGAAAGGCAAACATGTGAGACCAATCATTATCAAATACTTTTATTTTTTGGTTGAGTATTTATCTTTTTTTAATTTTTTTTTTTTTTTTGGAAAGAATGTCTTGGACTGTGCAAGTCTCCCTTTAGAGCCGTCTTTTTCGGGGAGCAAGAGGGGACGGATCTCCCTCCGGATCTCCCTCCCCACCTCCATAGTCTCCTCCGTGGACCACAGGTGGATCTTTGTGCGAACAAGTTGCATTTTGGAAGCCACTGTCCGTCTTTGTCTTTAAACAGAAAATTGAAGGAGCCGCGAAGCGAGCGGCCGCCGGGCCTCTGCCTCTGACCCCGTCCATTTCCCTCTTCTTCCTTCGCTTCAGCCTCTTCTGTTATGTTTTGTCTTGAATTTTATTTCCACTTTTTCAGTGGGTATTTTTCTCTCTCTCAACCTCTACGGTAAACTTTCTGGTCCAAGAACGAGCCGAACACAGCGCGATGCAGGGACTGGGACGGCCGGTGACCGCGCGGATTCAGGATTGCGGGCACGCAGAAAGGTTAAGGCACTTTTTAAAATTATAGCAAGGCTCCTGTTTATTTATTCTACTTTCTTTCCCTAATAATCGAAACACCGCATAGGCTCCTCCGTTTATCAGTATTAATGGTGTAACTTTGTTGGCAATATTTGCCGTGTAGAATTTTTTTTAGATATCCATTGTAAATTTGAAACAAAGACAGATCTGTGTAAAAACAAATTTCCATATGTTTTATATAAATATATATATAATATGAAGGACTACCCTTTTTTTTTTTTTAGCATTTCCGCTGCTAGAGTGCAGCATTTGTGACACGTATTTGAAATTTTTAATTTCCTTCTGCACTGTATAAAAGGACCATTTGAGGATGTTTTGCCTTTTGTGTATTTTTTCCTAAAAAAAAAAAACAAAAATAAAAATGTATAACATTTGTACATGGCCTTTAAAATTGTGTCAACTAGAAATAAAATCGCATGAGTATTTTATTGGGATTGGGATTGCAAAATATCTTCCAGACTCCCAAATAAAGAAAAAAACAAAACAGGCTTTGGATCTCTAGGCTTTTAAAAATTTACAATCGGGGTGATTCTGAATACTTTTTTCTTTTTTGGCGAATCCCCCTCTTTTCACTCTTCATTCCACATTGAAGTAAAATCTGGACCAGAGGAACTATTTTTCTTGGCTTCTGTTTTTTAAGAAGAGCCCTCTGCCCCTCTAAATGTCATTGCTTGTTTTAAAGAAATAATCAAACGTTTAAAGAACTCTGTAGTCCTCCTTCCCCTAGGGAACGCCAAGTAAACCATATATGTGCGCGTATACTCTACAGATCTGTGTATGGGTATATGGACATATATGTATATGTGTCCATGTACATAATATATATATTTTTTGCCACTACAAGACCAATGAGAGTTTTACTTTGGGTTTCAGACTTTCTCATTCTCTTATTGTAGCTGTTATAAATCTTCAATCAACTTTAAGGGTATTTTTGTAACTGTTGGTTTTGTCTTGTTTTGGTTTGGTTTTTTGGCGCCTTGTTCTTGGTTTTCCCCAATAGAAAATTGAGTAAAATCTGAATCAGGCAAAAGGGCCTTTGGTGGGCAAAGTGACAGGCATGTTTCCAACCCTGTAACATTTATCTCCTAAGTCACAGTTCCTCCCCTCCGGGGGAAAAATATTTAACGCTTGTGCCTTCCACTGACCACCCTCTTTCTATTCCAATTCCGAGGAGGTGAAAAAACACAGTAAGTCGCATTGTTGGTGCGGCCCTTCCAGACCCCCCGCAGTGTCTTGCGTTGTGGGGTCGTGAGTCTCTGAACCTGGTTCTTCTCACACTTGACGTTTTGGACGTGGGGGTAATTTCTCCGGTGCTCTGTTACATCAAAATTATCAATAAACTAGCGTGGGCAATTGATGTCCCTAACTAACAGCTGTCTATAAAATCGAGATAAAGGGAACAGGAAAAGGTCGGCGACTCCATCCCTTGGGGTCTCTGGCAGGCCGAAGTGTCAGACTAGGCTCTGCTGGGCGCACACGCCTGGCCCCGCGCTCCTTCTCTGCACCCTCCGCCTCTCACTAGAGCCGGGAAACCCAGTGCAGAGAAGATTCCCTCGGCCTCCTAGCGCGGGAACGCTGCTCCACCGTCCGGTCTGCCTCGCAGGATAGAGGAGCTAGGGACCCTTCCTCTCTCCCACAGAGGCTGCGGCCCAGTTAGGACAGAGGCTCCGGGGAAGTGGGGCTGATTTGGAGAAGCCCAACTGCCCGCTCCCAGGTTGTCTTCTGCGGAGTCTCCAGTCCCTGCACGCACTCACTTGGCGCCCTGGCGCGCCAGAGTCCCCCATGCGCCTGGTTGTGTGTGGCTTTGGTGCCGCTGGACTAGGGTCCTGGGGGACGGCAAAGCCCGGTTTCCTGTTGGTCTCCTTGCCTTCGCTTAAGGGGGATCTCCCAGCGCACCCGTGTCCAGGTCTAGCGGAGCGGGAGGCTTGTGGAGATCTAGAAGGCTTGTGCAGGAAAACTGGCCCAGACTGCCCGGGGACCGTGATCGGCCTCGGTCTTCCGGCCTGACTTGAGGCCTGGGAATGAGAGGGAAAGTCCAGCCTTCCCGCAAGGAGATCCTGGCTCCAGGCAAGCCCGGAAGGGCCAGATAACTTAGGCGAAACTGCCTCTGCACCCGAGTCCGAGGTTTCGCACCGTCGCGGCTGCAGCGCCGAGACTGCGCTCGGCTGGGTTATCTCCCTCCCGGTCCACTGAGTGCTGGGCTCGCACAGGGGTCGTGGGTGAAGCTCCCACCGCTGAGCGATGCCACAAAAGCGTGCCCACTATGTGCAAGTCACAAGCTTAAAAAGCAAAGGGTTCCTGAGTTTGGTGCGAAATTATGCTCCGTGCGTGCGTAAAGGACCCCTAAGGATCCACTAGCACAGAGGCGCCCTATGTAGAATAAATTCATAATAGCTCGGTATGATCTTAGGGGTTTTTGTCCTGGAATAACATAGAATTAATTCACAATTTCTTCATATATTTTAAGAGTTTTGCGCTGAAACAGGGAAGCCAAGATGCCTGTTGACGTGAAATCCCCGCTGTAATAAAGCCCCGGAACAGAGGTAGGAGCCGCTCGCCGCAGGCTTCTGCGGGTGGATTACACGTTTGCGGACGCCTTGGTTCCCGCGAAGGGCCGACGCCCTGGACGCACCCGAGCCTCAGCAGCTTTCCCGTTGCAGCCCCAGGGAGTAGAAGCGCCTGGGCGCGGCCTCCGAACTCCTCAGCCCCAGGCAAACGGGATTTAGCCTCCTAGAGTTCACCCCCAGGGCCAGGACAGGCGAGCAGCGTCAGTCGCCTGGCAGGAAGGCGCCTGGGGTGTGAGCTTCTGATGCGGTGGCGCCTGGGCCACCGAGGTGTGCACTTTCTATTCTCTTTTCTCTTTGGGGCCGGAGGGGGTTACTAGCCACAACGGCGTGGCTTCAGGCCTCCCAGCCACCCACCAGCAGGCGGCTTTTGCTCAAAGCAGTGGCAAGAGGAGCTAGGGCTCCTGCTCTGCGGCCACCCCAGCCTGGGTAAGCCAAGTCACCTCTGAGCCTCGGTTTCCTGATCTTTATAGTACAGCCCTGGTGGACCTATGGGCGCCAGGGTTAATAAGGCAGATGCTTCTAAGGAGTCAAGGGGTGGCCTGGTTCCTTGGTACCCAGAAAGGAGTGGCTAGTCAGACCCGGCTTTTCTCTCCTGCACATCTCTTGGGGTCAGTGTGGAGCGGTGGTGGTGTGTGTGTCTGCTTGTGAGGGGTGTGGAAACCATAAGAGGTGCAAAAATCCATATTTTACAAAGTCCTCTGCTCAGGGACTTCTGATCCCAGTGTGGAGACAGCTAAATTCCCATCTTCACGGACTTTCCCTCTCTTCCCAGGGAGAAGCAAGATGGCTCACAATGCTGAGAGAATTTTCACAGTGGGTTAGGGCTTGAGGCGCCAACATAAACCAGCCACCAGAATATCCCCCAACCTCACTGACCCTCCTAGCCCTGCTGAGAGTCCTGTGGATGGCCCCGTGGGGTAGAGGGAGGTCAGGGGCCCCCTGAGCCCAGTGGCTTCACCTCTGATGGTAACTATCAGAGTTCAGCCCAGATATCACCCTCATCAGACATATTTGGGGTGTCTGTTTAAATTGCAGATTTGAGGGGTCCCTGACAGCTCCTGGTTAGAATCTCTGGAGGGAGACCCAGGGGTCCACGGGGTTCTCAGGTAGCCAGGCGGTACTGGTGAGCACTAGTTTGGGTCTCTTCTCTCACAGTGGCCAAGGCTGCTATGAGTGGCCTCTGCTGCCCCCTCTTGCCCGCCTGCCGGATCAGGCCCCCGTGTCTTTGCAGCAGCTGGTTGGGAGAACTTGGAGGCCAGGCAAACAGGCATCATGGCCACATTTGCAGGCATACCACATGCACGCCGGACCGGAGCAGGCGTTCTTCCCACGCAGGCATCTCAGTCTACCCCAGACCACCCTCGCTCGCTCCTGGCCAAGCTTTGTCCTTGTTACTCTACAGACACTGCAGAGTAACAAGGGCAGGGCTTATTACTTTCGGAGGCAGACACTGAGCTCAGGGAGGGTCAGTGTCTGCTCCAGACACGGTTGGTAGGACGTGGAATTTGGACTCAGACCAGTACTTTCTGACCCTAAAGCCTGTTTCCCTCACCATTACACTACATAGCTCCTGGATACCCCTTTGCCTCCATCCAAAAGGCCTTGTGGAAAAAGGAAAGTTGACGCGGGGTACATGATTTAGCCTCTGCTGGCTTCCAGCCTCCAGAGGAGGGGCAGCAATGGGCAGGACCACGGGAGCTCGGGGGCTCCAAACACATGCTCTCACACCCCCTCTTGCCTTCCAGCTGAGCTAGGAGGACGCCTGCAGGCAGGGCAGGGAGCTGGCCCAGCAGCCAGCCACAACTTACCCTCTCAGAGCTCCAACTGTGATTCATGGGTTCCACCATGGCCTGCCGTGGAAGCTTCCTTTGCTTCATGGGGTCCCCTTAGACCAGCAGAGAAAAACTTCAGATGAAAATGGGTGCTCAAGGTGAGAAAGGCTGGCCACACAGCACCGTGGCCACCTCCACACTCTGCGTATGCAAACTTCTGGGCACCAATACCTCAGCATTCTGGACTCTGCTTAAGTAGAAAGGCCCTTTGCCGGTGTCTGAGCCCTGAGGCATGTTCTGGGCCATGTGGCCGGCAGGGTGGGACAGCAAGGGAGGGAGTCACATCCATCCAGGAAGGGACGCTGACTTGTTGTGGGGCCGAGACAAAACCTAGGCCTTTGACAATTCTATACCTTCATGTGCTTTGGGGGTGGACAGGGGCAGAGTGCCTGCAAGCATGAAACATCACGGGAGTGAGGCGTCTCTGAGCCAACTCTGGCTAGAAGGCTGTCCGATTCCAAAGTGTTCATTGCTCAATTAAACTCTTAAACATCGTCAGCATGAAACGACAGACAGAGGGGAACTCTCGTGGAGCTATAGATTTGTGATGGACATGGTGACATACACCTGTCATTACAGACAGACCAGCCAGTCCCCCGTTGCCCCAGTCCCCTGGCAGGGAGCACGTGGTGGTTGCATAGTGGCTGGCATTGAGGTGGGAAAGTGTGTGGTCCTTTTAGGAGCAGATGCCCAAGCCATACGATGCCCAGCAGCTGAATACACAAGGTCATGTCCTATGGGACCATCTGGCTGCTACCAGCGTCAGGACACCTGAAGTCATGTGGACACCATGAAGAGACAAGGACACCAAGGCCAGGACGACCACAAATGTCCTGCGCAGACTCAGAAAGCTGGCCAGATGCAGCGTCTGCAGGGTCCCTGTGGTGGTCCTTCTCTCACCCTACAGCGCAGGACACTTGCTGGAGACAGCCAAGAGGAAGAGCAGGCAGGGTCGCTGGGGCAGGTGCAGGCGTCCTC